GTTGGGGAAGGTACCAGAGATCATCTTGTTAGTTGGGATGTAGTGTGTAAGTCGAGGGCAAAAAGGGGATTGGGGTTTGGGAAGATTTCTTTAAGAAATCTCGTTCTTTTAGGGAAGTGGTTGTAGAGGTATCCTAGGGAGAGTTCAGCTATGAGGCATCAGGTCATTCTAAGCATTTATGAGATACATTCAAATGGTTGGGATGCCAACACTTTAGGGGGGGAGGGGGTGGGGGGGGGGGGGGGGTTGCTCGTCTGCCTTTGGGTGTGCGGCTATGCACAGTTGCTATCTGTTATTTTTTCATTCAACCTTTTAGTAGAAGATAATAGCTTCCATGCGTGGCAAGAGTTGTGGAAGGCAAGACAAGAAAAAGACCGCGATTACCCTTTGACCTTACCATGGTAGTAGCGAATAATGAGGCGTTTGTGCTAATGCTCGATGCTGACATTTGTGAAGACAGACAAGCTCCCACGATGCAATTTGGCCGAGAGGGTGACTTGGGTTCTATCGTACATACTCCCACGCATCCTTCGGATGCTAAACCTACAATATGCCCTTTGTATCCGATTTGTTTGCACCGCTTGACGCACGCATACTAATGACGTGCTCGTTTATCTATTGTGCTATTTTGTTCGTTAAAGGCACGGAGGAATATCGGTGACAAGGGCGGGCGTGGATTGCGCGGTCTGTGGGCGGACATCACGAGGTGTGCAAATTAAGATGTAGTTAGTTGTTCTCGGCTGGTAAGCACGCTCCGATCCTCTCAGGTGTTTATACTTTTGCTGCTTTCAGTGGAGACGACTGCAGGCCATAGCGCAACTAATACCAGCCTGTTTGAGGCATTGTGTGAGATCCCGCGTGAGGTACGTACTTACTGCCTACCCCCCGTGTGTGCGTGCTTTGCGATGGTTGACGGCGAAAAGTTCGTGCCTATGGTCGTGACCAGGCTTGTTGTTTGTACTTTAGTTGGGTAGTGTTCGAGCTTGTGTGGGAATGGTGCTGATGAACGACAAAGTATGCATGCATTGAAATCCCTCACTCACTCTCTTGACAGCTTGCGGTCATTTTGGACATATGTTTATCCTTCTAAGTTGGTTTTTAACAGAGCTCTTAAAGTTGGTTTTTAACGGAGCTCTTAAAGTTGGTTTTTAACAGAGCTCTTAAAGTTGGTTTTTAACGGAGCTCTTAAAGTTGGTTTTTAACGGAGCTCTTAAAGTTGGTTTTTCACGGAGCTCTTAAAGTTGGTTTTTAACAGAGCTCTTAAAGTTGGTTTTTCACGGAGCTCTTACTGTAAAGTTGGTTTTTAACAGAGCTTGTGTTTCTTACCCCATCATCACGAGACTGTTTATGTTTACACCCTCATGCCTTTTTGTTTATATCTGTGTGTCCTTGCTTGTTGTACGTGAACGTCAACCGCGTCGCAGTCTTGCTTCCAGCGATGACTTCTTCTCGTTCAAGGGATGGCTTGCACGACGCCAAGCCCGGCAGTTACAGGTGACAGCAGCGACAACCAATATGCCTTGCATAAGCGTTTGCGCCCACGTGCCGCATCGACATACCTCGATATTCAATTTTGAGCATCATGTGGTGTATTATAGCCCTTTTCCATGTAAACGCCCTCCGCCGTCCGTATCTAACTTAGATCGATGCCCTCTCTCCGTCCCAGCATGCGCAATGAATTCCCCGCGTGAGTAGTAGAGAGACACCAGATGGGAACGATGGAAGGAACGCCGCCCCTCGCCTGTGGATTATGGCACTGTGGCTGTCTTGTTGGTTAGCTTGGAGGCCGCCCTCGCTCTTGCACGTAGCTCACGTCACCATAGGCACACGACACTGCGTCATGCCGTTACGTAGCATACCCGCTGACTCGACATCACGCCCCCGCCGACAGCAGAAGGATATGGAGGAAGCGGATGCGGACTGCTGCGACGTGGCTGGTGAGCACGTCCTCGCCTCGGAGATCGACGCCTGGAAGCTGCCCAACCAGGTCTTCGGGGGTGCCGGGATGGGATGGGCGCAAGAAGAGCGAGCTCGTGCTCTGTGCAGTATCAAGGACGATGGTGAGATTTCATCTGATGTTGGTCGGTGTTAGGTCGTTTAAGTGTTCTCGACCCCGGTGCATAGCTCCTCCTGTCGCGTGTCTTAAGTCTCGCCCCTTCCATCGCCCATTGACGAACGCCTTGTCGTGTTTCTCCCTCGCGCCGTCCCTTGTCGCATTTGTCGTGCTTTCGCTCCCTCCTCTGTTCATCTTGTCGTGGATTCCTCTTATTCTCTTCTCCCATCGTTTTCACCTTCCTCTTTATATTTTCCTCGACTCTACTCGGGATTGAGAAGCCGCGTGGTCTTCTCCGGAGAAGGCTCTGTCTCCCGTGAAGGTGTTCGCGATGGTGTCGGTTCTCCTCACAGTGGCGTTTGAGGGGGTGCTGCCGAACGCCGCAGCTATCGGACTTTAGTGAGCTAGCAAAGCTCCGCCCTGGACCCATTTTCTTTCTGCTTTCCGAGAAGAGAGAACTGTGTCGTACTTCAAGTTCACCCAAGTTTCATTTGCGTATTGATCGTGCCGTCAGGAAGGGACACAGCACTACGTATGAGTTAATTACAAGTATTGAGCCAGGCGGGACGGCCTTTTCCTACCAGATGAACCTACGGAGTATAGAACCACCATTGTAGCTGACTGGATCCGTGGGGAATGTGAGGAGTGTCTACAGCCGCTCAACCTTGCTGGTTTTGGTGACATGAGGTCTTTGTAGTTTACACTGGCACGAACCAACCACGGCCCACGCTGCAGAAGGCATTGACCGGTTGCGTTGGGTTTGTTTGTGTTGAGTGTCACTGCTAGTCTTGTTGTCGCTTAGCCAGTACGGCCCTTCTGGGTGTCGTGTCTTTGACGGGGGCTAGCTATGATTGTGATGGATGCGAGCTCTACTTTCTGGGGCAATAAAGGCGCGGAGCCAGTGTTGGTATTCTTGATTCGGAAAGGTGTCGTCGATGCGTCGATGCCTCGATGTTTGCCATGCAATAGCCGCATGACACAACATCGTTCGACTGAGGCCACATTTTACCGAACCGGCGGAGACTGACCGCTGTTGCGTGCCGCTCGATCTACTGTTGTTTCTGCTGGGAGTTGAAAGCAAGAAATAACACAGGGTGGGGTGTCTTGTGGTCCTCGCGTTTGTAAGGGTTTCATGGGCAGCCGCAGCGTTAATTGTCGGGCTTGGTATTGTCGGCTCCGTGCACCCTCTGTTGCCCGCATCCTATTTGTGTCAATGTCTCGTATTTTGGACATGCTGCGCAGCCGCCGTAGAGGCTGTAGTTTTTCAAGTCAGAAGTGTGCTTGTGCTGGGAAGGCGAAAATCACAAAAAGTGTGGGAAAATTCCAGAAAAAATGACGAAGACGGTGATGTCGTTGGTACCCTATTAGAAGTAGATTGTAGAGGCTGTAGTTTTTCAAGTCAGAAGTGTGCTTGTGCTGGGAAGGCGAAAATCACAAAAAGTGTGGGAAAATTCCAGAAAAAATGACGAAGACGGTGATGTCGTTGGTACCCTATTAGAAGTAGATTGAAGAACGGCGTCCTTGGTACATATTAAAATGCATATGACACGAACGTACGTTTTGCTTTGCCCGTTTCACATGTTGATATCGCAGCTGCGTTTTAATTTAAGTTGAGTAAGCCCCCTTGGCAATGAGGCCACCGCTGGTGTAGGCAAAAGAGAGAGAGTGAGAGAAAGAGAGAGTGAGAGAGAGAGAGAGAGAGAGAGAGAGAGAGAGAGAGAGAGAGAGAGAGAGAGAGAGAGAGAGAGAGAGAGAGAGAGAGAGAGAGAGAGGGAGGGAGGGAGAGGGAGAGGGAGGGAGGGAGAGAAGAGTCAGGCGAAGACGCCATGGAGTTGGGAAGAACGTACATATTGCCGGTGTCAGATTTCGAGAGATAAAAAATGGAATTACGATTGTTTTTCCTTCTCGAAGGTTAGGTTCTCATTGCTGATGACACCTGCCCGACTGTCTGTGTGCTCGTTGTGCATTGGCCATGTTCGGGTCGCGACGCAGGCAGAACAGCAGGCACTACGTGGTAGCACGGACTCTGAATCCGATATTTTGGTTTTAACTGGTCGGAGCACCGGCGGGGAGGGGATGGTAACGTTTGCGAGACTGTGTGGCCCAGGACTGCTGTGCTTTTTTGCCTTCGTTGGGAATTATTGGAATGTGCAGAGTGAATCACACCGGTTTATGGGTGTACTATGCATAAAAGCTATTTGCATAGCCGACCACAACGTGCCGGAGGAGTATCATATTGTCCAGAGCATGAGCTTGGTGTGGTTTAGTCCAGCGTATCTTGGTGAGGGATTGAGGTGCTTGTGGCACCGAACATTGGAGTTGAGCATTTAACTTTTTTTCCCGTACCTTTTTCCCGCGCTAGGCCTGTTGAAGCTCTCCCTCGGATGGACGATTAGTCTGATGTTTTTGTCTACGGTCATGAAGCCTATTAATAGTGCAACTTGGTGGACGATGGACTGCTGTCTGTGTGGTCTGGTGGCTTGTGTCGTTTGGTCGGTCAATGGAGGAGTGAACGTGCCTCCGTTGGCAACCCTTCCTGCATGGATATAGATTTGTAGGACGACCCGGTTGAGCTAGACTTGATCCGAGAAAAAGTCAGGTGCTGGCGTTGATTAGGAGAGATGATGCAGAAGATGGAACTGACTGGGGATGGAAACCATTGTTGGTTTGGTGCACTATAAAAGTAGCTGGAATCGGTAGATGTGTTCTTGGCACGACAAAGAACTAGATTGCCAAAGCAAAAGTATTAGTGTGACATTTGTGGGGTGCACGACACTTGCTCGTCCAACGAGTCCGGGGCGCCGTGTGCGTGGGTTCAGCGTAAGTTATAGCGGAGATGCGCGGTTGATCGTTCATGACGAAGAGCCGGCAGGTAAACATGACCGACCACCCCGCGAATGGGTTACATCACCTGCCGGGTAGCCTCACAGGCATGCGAACTTGTCGGTTGACAACGGTCGTGTGAATGCCTTACGTTACAATCGCTTGTCGTCGTGGGTATGGTCACGTCACCAATCAATACCGATCGGTTCGGTTCGGTCTCTCTTCTCGTGGCTAGATAGATGCAGCGAGACGATAACCGGGTAGGTACGTACGTATAGGGTCCTGTCGGCAAATACAGACGGGTTTGCGGGTTCAGTGTATGGTATGCATTTGTACACCAATCGTTGCCTTCAAACCTCTCCCTTCGCCCGCATTCAAGCATAAGTGCATACCGTAGATAGGGTTATCACGCGAGGTCCATAACCCATAACCAACCCCGCCTGCCAACCCCCCCGCACTCAATCGGAGTTTTCACACACACACACTTCCTTGTGAAAGGGCCAAACAATTATGTTGTTGTGTGTTTGTTTAAATCTAACACTCGATCAGTGAACACAATCCTCTTGTAGCGGTAGTCATCAGGAGAGATACGTCACTAGGCCAAACCTACATGTAGAGTGTACACGTCGAACACACTGCACATACATACATTTCTGCCGTACGTATATGGGTAGATAGAGTAAATAGTAGCAGAGAGCCTGAAACAGTATTGAATCATCAAATTTACCATGCAATGCATCGTATGCATATATGCGTAGTATATGGAAATTCGAATGACGATGCGGACGCATGCACCATCGCAGACACGGATCTTTCGATTGTGCCCCATTGGCCACTCGCCACGGATGGCAATCTCATGATCTTTCCGTGCCACACACACGGCACGTTGAAATTCAACTCGATCTCCCCGTGTATCATCCACGAATGAAAGGACAGGGGGTATACATTCCCCATCAGCGAACTTTCAACCTTTGGGCAAGGCCAAAGGCAGGCCAAAGAGCAACGCTACATTTATAGACCGAGTCCGAGATCGCGAGACAGCGCAAAAGAAAGTGCGTGGACGCCAAAACGAGCGCGAAATGCCTCGCCGAAACAGGAAGGGCTTCACGGGGGCCGTTCCCCTTAGTTTCGTCGCGATACCGGCTGTTGGAGCTGTGGCTTATGGCCTGAAGAGTGGCGCGGCTCCTTCATGCGCACTCTTGCATGCACCGAGCAGGAGCAGCATCATTGACTCCCAACTTTTGTCTTCACGCAGATTTGGAGAGAGAGTTCGTGGGATGGATGGGTACCCCTCTGTTGGGAGCCGACGGCATCGGAGACACCGAGATGGTTCGGCAGCCCAGGTGTGGTTTATGAATCTGTAAACAATAGGGAGGTTGCTCCAGGTGCAGCCATCGCGGTGAGGAGCTTCGTACGGGTTGCAGCACATCACGAGATCACGAGGCTAATTTGGGGCTTGGCAGGATGCCGTGCTACTGATGCCTCGTAAGGGTGTGTGTTGTAGAGTCATTCTCCAGGAGATTCGAACATCAGAATCATCCATCCGCAGCAAAACAGCACATGAACACATGAACACATGGTGCGGACTAACCCCATTGAAATGTCTGTACCGTGGGTGTATCAGCAGAGATTTGCAGTGTGGTCTACTGCTGTACATGCTGCTGTAGCGCACAGAACGCACACATTGCACATTTCCAAGAAGTGAAGATGAGCAACTGCCAAAGGTCCCAACACTCATTTCTAGCCATGCTATTGCGGTGATGGGTGCCTCTTTCGTTCCTCTCCAGCAGCAAATAAAGACCGACGGCTGTTTTGTGATCGAGTTCGTTTACAGCCGTCGTGTACACAGCTATTACCGTATAACGACACAAGATAACACACCCCCTGAACCGATTTTCAAAGCTCGATTTTTCAACAGCAGAAAGAGTCACAGCGCCGAAAACGGCGGCGTTGAAGCCGTTCGTCGAGAGCTTTCCGAAAGTGTATCTACCGTTCCGTTTATGCATTCTCTTGGTCGTGGAGCAATCGACCTTTAAAAATCGGTCCAGGGTGTGCACTATCTTGTGTCGTATTTACGGTACTTCATGTACCATGAGGCTGTTCTACTTTTGAGTCTCAACGTCTCAAACCTTGCTTCAACCTCAACTTCTTTCCGCATAAACCCGGCCCTCACGCCTCAGATGACCACTGTGGCAACACCCGACCAGCGACCAACCGAAAGACGGACAACATCAGGAGTAGCAGACGTAACGGTGGACAAGCTCGACGGAGAACTGCAGCAGCAGCGGCGGCGGCGGCGGCAGCACGACTCAGTTGCTGGCGTGTCTGCAGAGTGTCGACTAAGGCGAGAGCTGAGGAAGCTGGGAAACCTGCGCCAGCCGCAGAACGTTCTAGAGCTTCTGGCAGCGGCAAAGGGGCGAGGGGATCCTTTGAGTCTGCGGGTGTTCAAGTGAGTATTTTTCCACGGCAGTTGTTGAACCTCGGTGGGGAAAGTAACTTGGACGCGTTGGGTGTGTCGGAAACTTTCAGGGCCCGGACTGATCGGATTTGGCTTCACACCCTGTCGAAGAAAATCAAGAAGCATTCGCATTGTATTGCCTCACCGCGCATCGAGGGGTCTTAGGGTCGCACTGACAAGCAGGGCCCCTTTGTGAATGGGACGGCTCGGAAGTGGTTGACTTCTGCCTACGTTCAGCGAAGACAGCCATGAGCTGCGACTGTCTGCCTCGCATGCCTACTGTAACATCAACCTTTCTTGCCTCGTACGTCTTCACTTCTCTCCGCACTCGGCGATACACTGCTGTAGCTGCCTCACATGTTTCGGTAGCTTGCTCGACGTGCTTGTAATCGATCCAATCATGTGTTGTTAGGCCAAAACTTGTCTCTTGAGCGGCACTCACGGCAAGGCATCTCTCTCCCTTCGCATGTGTGTTTTCTGTTTGTTGTCTTCAACAGCGCGGCCATTACCGCTGTAGCTCCTTGCGAGGAAGGGTGCAAGTTCGCGCTGAGGCTGCTGATTTTGATGCAGGAGGAGCGTATAGCTCCCGACCGCTTCACGCTTACAGCGATCGGTGAGCCGGCCTATGCCTGATTTCCTACCTCCTCGTCTCTAAGCGCGATATATCGTTTTCTGCGTATTTTCGTCATGTTTGACTATGCGAAAAGTATGAGCCAGTCGAGAAGCAATCAAGACCCCCCATAATTAAAGTAGGAAGGAACGATTGGCCATCGGTGATCGGTCCTGTGGGAACAATGCCCCGTCCTCTCGAGGACGCGTGGTCAATGGTCTAACCGCTAAGGCATGCCAAACATAAGAGTACGGCCCCCCTGCTTATGTTCACCAATGTCTTGTGCGAGATGCACTGACTACAACGCCGAAAGAGCCGTCTCGGTTCCTCACCTTCCTTTCCCTTGTGCATGTGAGTTTTGCTTATGTTCTGTCGTCTCGCGACAAGCCGGTTCGCCCGTCATGCTGACCTTCCGCTAGACGTTATGCAGTGCAGTCCATGCAAGGACAGCGGCTGGTTTACGTCGCCAACAGCAGTCACCCCCCACTACGGCATCGCCATGTAGCCAGTGTTGCCACGAGCTGTTGCCTGTGCTGGCTGCCGAAATGTGAAGCAAACCCTCGGTATGGGTTTCGAGGCAGATTTTCAGAAATACATACCCATGTGCGACAAGCGATCTGATTGCAACACATCGTTGTCCACTGTCTCCACCATGCGTTGTTCACCTCCTGGTCTCTCTCCCCCCCTACATCCATACTGACTGTGATCAAGTGGCAAGCTGCTTACGATGCCAAAAATGGGACGTCGCGCACGGGGTGCTGGAGAAAATGGAACTCCAAGGAATGAGGCCGCTTGACCTGCGCCCAAGCCGGCTCACCACAGCTCCGGGCGAGGCAGGCGAGGCAAGGGATCGAGTGCGGCGCTTGCTCGAACGTCTCCGATCAGCCGACCTCGGGCCAGAGGAAGGCCTTCGACCGCCAGACCAACTACGCAAGGGCGGTGGCGGTGGCGGTGGTGATTTTACAGTTCGGGATTTCCGACAAAGGCGCGTGAAGAGCGTTGTTAGGGTCACGAGCGGGAAAGGTGGGAAGGGCGCCCGCCCGTCGGAAAACAATAGCAGGGGGACCTTCCGCCACGTGGGGACTACTGCTGCGTCGTCACCAGCAGGTAGTGCTGTATTGGTGGAGGTACCGCCGAAAGCCCTAAGTAGTTTCAGAATGGAAAATTGCAAGTTTCAGTCTACGTCGTGTCGGAGATTTTCGGAGAACATTCTTCCACCTCTTCGCGAAGCTTACCTGAAAGAAACGTCGAAGAATCTCACATCGAGCCCAACATTTTCAAACGCTGTCGCATCATCAGCGGCAGACGGCGACGATAAGGTGGGCGTTTTGCTGACGGCAGAGACGCCTCCCGGAGAAAAATTTTTCCTGTCCGAGTTGAAGGCGGCCGCCAACACCAAGAGCTGGGAACGTGCTCTCAACCTTCTGGACGGTATGCGAGAGGCCGGCTACGCGCCGCACCCGGGGGCCTATGCCTGCGCCATCAGGTGCGGAAGCAACAGTTAAAAGAGTAGTGCTCGTGCCCCTAACGTTTGCCAACCAACGGCAAAGGGAAGGTCTGTTACAAGCCCAAAATAGTCGTTACGGCCTCAAACTCCTATACGATCGATGGGTAGCAGGCTTTGATTAGATTGTTCTGTTTGCTTATCCTATGGGTGCGACGGCAGTCTTGACGAGCCGAGCTGTATGCCCCGACGGGCGTTCCTGCTGGCTCGGAATGGATACGATGTTTGATACGTACGGCTTGGCAAGCGACGTTAACGAACCTGTCGATATGATTGGACTAGACGACGGTTTTTGCCCCATATAGACAGTTGCATGTCATGATAGACACCCCCGTCTCTTCACCGGGGTGTAGCTGTGGTACAGCATCAGAGTACAGTCCACAAAAGATGATACTTTATGCGCTGCATTGATTCCTTTTGCGCAAAGGGCGTGTGGGAAAGCGGGGAAGTGGGAGCACTCCCTGGCGCTAATGGACGAGATGCGCTCGAGCGGGGTAGAGCCCGGCGAGGGCTGTAACGTGATGGCGCTTAAGGCGTGCGCCGATGCCGGGCTGTGGGAAAAGACTCTCGGGATGCTCAAAGACATGAGGGCTTCGGGCGTCAACCGGTCTGAGAGGTGTGTGTTGAGCGTCAACGGGTCGGACGGAGCGGAGGGACAAATGTGCTGGAATGTAGTATGAACACGTGCGGATGAATCTTGAGATATCCGGATGAGGTCGCTGGGAGAACAAGGGAATTCGAAGCAGTTAGTTCTACAGGCGAAATATAGCAATAGCATATCTGCTACCGTCACGGAGGGCTCTATTGGGATAGCGAGGCATGGTTTTGTTTTCGTAGTTGGCTTGAGGGCAGAAACGTATCGTGACTGTGTCTTGGCGCAGGCATTCTCGACATGTGTGTCGTGCGCGGACGGGATATTGGTACAAGTAGAACCGAATCGATAGGCCATCCCCCCCGCTACGGAGAAATGGACGCCTGCGATACCCAAAGCCGTGCGAGAGCACGCCACAGGGCGAAGAGTATCGCTGCATCGATAGCATACGATTTGGCCATAAACAACGCAATGACTTCATTCTATGTGTACCATTCGATTCTTGGCAGCACCTTCGTGGTGGCGATGAAGGCCTGCGGCGACGCCGGTCGGTGGGAAGAGGCGTTGGCTGTGATGGACGACATGCGCAGAGATGGCATACCCCCAATGGAAACGACCTACACCACCGCGGTGAGGATAACCCCTCGTCGTAATAGCTATCGTGCTGAGTTGTTTTCGACTGCTACATGTGCCGCTCATTCGCTTGGTTATGTGTGAGCTGAAATCTGAGTGATCGGCCTCTCTGCGGACTGATGACCTAAATGGACATGGATCCAAAGCCCACTGAATGGATGATGACACTCGTTCGCCCCACCGTTGTCGTACACAGCGTTTCGTCGCCACTCCGTATGTGGGATGGATGCCCACCATATGCTCGTACGTCTTTCGATACATGCGTGCTTGCATGTCTGATACCTTCCACGGCTCTCCTGCACGGACGTTGAAACGCTCCGGTGTATCCTTTGCACCCCCTCCCGTCCGTCGTCCCAACGCCTTGATTCCGTGCACCCAGATGAAGGCTTGCGGGAGCGTTGGCAAGTGGGAGCAGGCGCTGAAGCTGTTCGATGAAATGAAAGACATCGGCATCGCACCAACTGAGCAGTGCTATACGGCCGCCATCAGGGCGTGCGCAAAGGCTGACAAGGCAAGGGTCGTCCCTCCCCTCCCCGCCTATGCGTTCCCCTTCCCAGAAAACTCTTGGAAAACCGCTTGCAAGAATATTCCCTTCTGGTACTGCCTATGGTTGTCCCATCTTTGGTTGTAAGTCCGGTGCTTTTCACGTGTGGTTTCCAAGTTCTTTCTATTCTGTACCCCACTTGTGTGGCAGGTATTGTCCGTGCTCTCTCTCTCTTTCTCTCTTCATGCCTTGAAGAATGTTCAACACAATCTGCTCCCAAACGGGCTGTTGTTTACTTCTGGGACTTCTGGTTATCCTGATACGTCTAGAGGGGTTCCAGAAAATGACTGACCGCCGCGATCGCCGTTTTTGTTTTGTTTTTGCTCTCTCGTCATCTTCTGGGATTCCCTGCAGGCGGAGAAGGCGTCATCGCTCCTGCTCCAGATGTGTTCAGCACCGGGAGTTTCGACGAATATGTCGAGCTTCCGCGCGGCGATGGATGCGTACTGCAGGGCAGGAGACTGGGCGTCGGCGCTGCGGCTTCTGGAAGACGCTCGAAGATACCAGCTCAAGCCCAACACTGCCGACCTTCGCACCATGGTGGAGGTGAGATGTTGGAGGGTTGAAGCTACACATTGAATGAACTTCAGGGGGGGGAAAGAAGGAGAGCTTTTGCAGAAACGTATTTGTTGGGTGGCAAACGCTGGACGTTTTGGTCAACACACATCCTCGGTCTTTCTTCTCGTATTGCGTGTCACCAGGCGTGTGGAAAGGCTGAGCAGCACGAGCGGGCTCTGTCCTTGCTGGAGGAGATGCGCTCCGAGGGCATGAATTTGCGAAGGACGGGGGAGAAGCTGTGGTGGGTTTTCAACACCTGCCGAGACAAGAAGGTCAAGGAGAGAGCGTGGGTGCTCATGGAAGTGGAACAGACGCGCGAACGCGTTAGGCTGAGAGCCGAGCGTAATGCTCAAAAGGCAGCTGCAGAAGAATCAGAAGCAGCAGCAGCAGCGCCGTTGCGACGTACAGCCACCACTCCGACGGTTTGAGTGCCGTCTTTGATTGCGGTGGTGCTTGGGAGTGTGTCCTCGACCTACTTGCATTTGGTGTGTGCTCTGAGGCCTTGTGCCGACAGGAGTTTTGTTTCTGTCGCGGGCAACCACGCGCCCCAACGACTGCTGTACATGTGTTTTTCTCGATTGGCTGTTGGTGGGTCACCTGCTTCTGCTGCCAGGAGATCGAGATAAACGATACCAAGCGGATTTGTAGATACGGTTAAGGATTTTCTGGGCGTTGACAAGATGTTGTGCACGCTTCACGTGTCCTACACACACCTCTCGGTCGTTTTTGTAGGCTACGTTAGAGCTCTCTCGCAATTGGCCCCTTTAGCCTTGACGTAGCGCTTGCCAATCAGAGAATTGTGGAACAACTTTTGAAGCGGGAGCTACACTTCCAACCAACGAAGAAGTTGCGAACGCTGTGTGGACGTCGGCATTCGTATAGTATTGTCGTGGGTCTTTCGAGCTCACTCTCTGGCAAGCATAGTCCAAGACGAAAGCAAGGCATAAAGCGTGGTGCCCACAGACACCCTACATTTGTTTCCTCAGGGGGTCCCTTGCGTGCTACTGCTGTATGTCCGGCGTGTTCAACCGAGCAGCAGCATCAGATACTTTAAGGACGACCTACGTGCCTAGTATGCATAGCAGTAACGCCCAGGCAGCCGGGGGGGGCGATGCAAACTCTGTGCAACGTGTGTGGTATATGTAGATCCCCGACACGGAGCACGAAACATTAGACTATGCATCAGAAGTCAGAAAGTTCGCGCATTTGCGGATAAGCTAGCTCGATCATCATCGAGACATGGCATTGGGGCATTTTCTTGCCCTACATTTTTTTGCACGTATGCGGCTCACTCTCTTGGAGGAGCCTATTTTGTTCGCCCTGTATGTCGACCAACATTCCAAACACCAATACCACTCCGAATGGGAGACCCAGGACAAGGGGGCACACTCCGCTGCCGCATGGTGCGAGGAAAATACAGCACGAAGCGAGACATGCACCCATTCGCTTATACATTGCATGGGCAAATAAAAATCTAATCTTAAAGCCTTCCAACACAAACTGAAATGCAAGGAAGTGCGTCGCCATCGTTCTAAACCAAAGCATCTATCTATGCGAAAGACCCCCCGGGGCCCTCCTAAATAGCTAGTCGGACGATATCATTTGGTGCGCACGTATTTTTGCAGACAGAAGCGGAGAAGTGACCGTGAAAACCTACACTAATTTTACGACACGGCAGTAGATAGGACCGTGTAGAAGACCCATTCCCCGCTGCAAATTGCGGACCCCCCTGCCCCCTTCCTGGAAAAGTACCATCCGCTGTGTTCTCCGATCCTCATTCACAGCAGCACAGCAGAGAGGTCCACCGCTGCTGCTGCGACTGCTGCGACTGCTGAGCACACCTTCTAAAGGTCCTCCGCCCTGTTGCTAGTCACCCGGAGAAAACGTGGGCAAGGTGAACATGCCGGGGTTGCCTCCCTTGCAGTTGAATATCCAACCAGTGTTGCTGTTTGAAATGCACAGCGTATTAGACTACTTCTGTTGCATACACACTTGTCGTCCACCGCTTGTAGCTTGTCACCCGGTTGTACTGGCTCTAGCTCATCGTTGTTTCGTAGGTGGCAAGTCAATAATTATGGCCGCTGAGCAAGTGGAATTCCCTATGCGGCAGATATGAAGTATAATGATTCTGGACTTCGCTCAAGAGCATTCGGAACGAATGGGTAGTCTTTCTGTGTGTGTATTTATTTTCCTTAACTTTCAGCTGCAAGTACCAGCATTTAGTTGGGCCGCATGGAAATGCTAAATATGCGCAGCCATTCCTTCCACTGTGCATACATTCGTTACGAACAATTCCCTTGCCCCGTCCTCCATCTCCCGATCTTCGTACCGAAGCAAGGCGGTATCATCGACCCAAGGTGGAGAACGTCGTGAAGTTGAGCATACTACAGTATCCCAACGACCAAGAGGGAGTCGACGAATCGACCGATAGTATTCCACCAAGGGCCGACAGGTTTCCACGCTTTGGAAGCGTGTTTGATCGGGGCAGCAGGTATCACCATCATCCGGTTGCTGTGCACCACTCATCGCAACCTCAGCCTCCGATCAAAGAAAGCCGATAGTGGTATCCCCCCACGTGTCTTCGCACCTTGCCGGAGGTTGTCTTGAATTTGTCGCGCCGCCATGCCAACACGCGGGGCCACGGGCAACCACGGCGGTAAAGGTTTGGTGTCCGACGCAGAGCGGAATGGGTTCGTGGCGGCGGTCCTCGCCGGAGAACTCGAGCCCGATTTTCAGGTGATCGCGTATCACTTTTCAGGGTGGCTGGACAAAGGTGCGATGGAGAGATACGGTTTTGATATCGGGATGTCGAGGCGCGCAGCTTGCCCATCTGAGCCCTAGTTGAAATGGGGGGTCTTACCGCTGACTGACGTGTTGCGATCATTCCCCAGATCGTCATCTGAGTATAGCACGGCACTCGGGTGGTTGTGCACTGCTTGAAGGGTGGCTCTGAGAGAAAGAGCGAAGGAAAACCTGAACAGTTGAGTTTCATCGCAATATCGCTGTAGCGCACCGCACAGCCACCCCGCGTTCATCGCGAAACCAACTCACCTGGTGGAGAGCTTTTTCTTTCCTCGTTCCAAGACAAAACAACCGCGTTTCCATGGGTCCGCCGATAAAAGTGAAGGATGAATTCGCGATGGACTCATGCGTACACGATCTGACACGACCCCTTCATTTGTACTCATTTGCTCGAATCCGCCGAATGCTGGACGCCTGTCCATGGCCACATACAGACGTCATGGACGCGGTTTTCGAAGTCAGCTCCGGCCCACGAGAGGCATTGTCAGCGCTGGCAGGCATGTCGCCTTCCCCGGCTGTAGCTGTCAGCAGCAGCAGCAGCAGTGAGGACAAGGGCCCTGGAAACGCATGCACGTCTTCTTCAATGTCACCACCAGCGCCACCATCATCGCCACCACCGTCAACATCATCACCACCACCACCATCATCGCCACCACCGTCATCATCATCACCATGCTCCTCCACCTCCTCCTCCTCCTCCTCCTCCTCCTCCTCAACAGCCTCAGCAGCCTCAACATCAGCAGCAGCAACAGCAGCAGCTGCTGCTGCATCAGCAGAAGCACCAGCATCAAGGGCAGCATCAAAGGCAGCAGCATCATCACTAGAAGACGCAATGACGAGCGCCAACGAGAGGCACGCCAGAACGCTGGAAGCTATTCAGGCCCAAAGGGCGTCCTTTGCTCCGACGGTTATTCCTCCTTCGACATCGGTTGTTGAAGAAGATGATGGCCTGCCCGAAGCAGAACCAACACCAGCACCGACCGCAGCCGCAGAGGAATCTGAGGAAGAAGAGTTGGCTGTGGCTGTCAGCGACGACGTCGGTAGCACTGCTGAGAACGTGGAACTGGAGAGCGTCGCCGCGTTCATCGCAAGCTACGCAGGTTGGTTACTGTGGGACAGCAGTTTGTCGGGTCGTTCCTTTTCAGTTCACAACGTTGACGGAGCCACAGTAGTTGCTGCAGCACTGCTGGTACACTTCTACCTGTTTCGTGCAGCTCGATGTTGAAGCCGCATTTATCGGAAGCTGCCATGCAGGTGCCTAACAACAAACAAATTTATCACAGCACCGTACTCATCTGGGGAGGTGGCGAGCGACAAGGCCAACGCCCCCATCTATAATCCTGGTAGTAGAAGAGCCACAGACGTGCCGTGCCGCCACGTTTTACGGGCCGAATCTATGACTCATTCGCAGAGAAGCGACGAGTTTCGGGACTGGTCTACACGCCTCTACATGCCCATTTCCCGTCGGGGAGGGAGAACGCACACCGATACACAACATGTTGGCCGCTGTTTCATTTTTCCCCCCTTATACTCATTCTCGCTCCAAAACCCGAGTTGATTCGTAATTATACCGATTGCATGTGTTGTAGGTTGTTAGGGCGCAGAGGGGATCATGTGGTCTTGCAGCACTCACTGTTCATTTTCCCTCGGAAACGGCTTCGGATGGCGTTGGCAGGGGAGCAAGAAGCAGCGGCGAGGGCAAACCGTCTTCCCACCAAGCCTTCAGAGCCCCCGTTCTTGGTCCCGCGAGGAATGTCTGTGGTGCGTATGTCATGATGGATTGCTGCACAACTTGCGTTGCTGTGCCAAACGATCGCCTTGTGCCAAACGGGGGGGATCGAGTTTTCGATCAATATAGCAGTGATTTGTGTGATCGGTGGCGGTGTAATTTCTCTTGCTCTAAATATTGTAGCTCTGTTGTAAATGCCCTACGCCTGAAATTTGTCTCGCGCAGAATGTGATTCGACGCAGAGGTTGTCCGTTTCGGGTGGCCCTCTTGTTGACACTTGGGAGATTTGCTTCCTTACCGTGATTTAGAAACGTCTTTGTTTTGGAAAGTGATGCCGCGAGTAGGCACGCTGCTTCAAAAGCGACCGATTGCCGTCTCAAATAGGCGACTCGTTCATGTACTAACACATATGGCGGTTGTTTCCGTGAAAAACATGCATTGCCCTACGCGTTTGATTTGCAGCCGCCCACGAGGAAGATTCAGCTGGTGATCGCCCATACGGCGGAAAAGACGATAGAGGTGCCGGGATTCGAAGCATTCATGAAGGCGAGTGACCCACCAAGCAAAACACTTTCATCCTCACGACTCTGTTGGGCTGGTAGACGAATCGTACAACGAAACCTATGTTAGACATTGAGTGGATGAACCCAAGTGGATGTGAGCCTGTTGTTTCGATTTTCTGATACGATTTTCCTATCGCCACCACCTTCTGGCGCTTGTGGCCGTTGAATGGGTTCTCTCAGGGCCAGTTGAGTGTTGAGTGCATCACATACATATTATCCCATCCATGGCGTCGTCGCGACAGTGTGATTGCCCCGCTGCGGCAAGACATGAATCGTCTACACAGCACGCCAGCTGCGACCGCACCGCGAGTGGTTGGACATCCGTGTGTTCCCCCGAAACTAACTCTGCCTTGCCTGTGCACGACTGCTGCTTCGACATTTGGTTTCCTTTTGGTGGCACATGGAACGATTTCAGATGCAGCATGGGAGGGACGCCCTCTTCCGTTTCCTCGCGGCGGATCACGCCTTGCACAGGTACTTATGTGTATTTTGGACTAAGACAGCAGCGGGGGTCACCGTCTCCATGATAGACTGGGCAGCGCGAACTCTCGCGACGGCATGGTATCAATAGTGTCGGCCCGGTGCGATAAGATGTTGTGGGGATTGTTGCACGGCGGTACACCATTGTGCCACCTGTTCCCCAAGAGCTGCGAGAGGCCCAAGCAGGTCATGCAACGGTGGTTCGCCCTTGTGTTCGGTTTATTTCAGAGCAGGAGTTGGTTGATCGACGGCCACAGCTGTGGACAGCAAACGTGTATGCCGAAGTAGTGTCCAGCAGGTGGTGATTTGTGAGCCACGGCCATCTTCCAGCGATCCAAAGTTCCAAACAAAGTCAAAGTGTCGTTCTTGAACCGTGTTTTGAGCGGAGAAGAGCGGCCCACCCTAGGCCGCCGTGCGTCAAGAGCATCCCGTGTTTCCCCCTTTAGAAACGAACAACGCCGACAGCAAGAAACTCCCACCCCTTATCAACGTTGCACGTTTCCATTTTTGCGTCGGCAGCTACTACCTCTTGGCAAAGAAGCACGTTCAAGAAATCGTGATGAAGGGGGGGAAAGCAAAAGGCGCTTGCGCGGCCGCCGAGCCCTCCTCAGCTCCCGCGGCGACATTGAAAGCCCCCAGTGACAAGACAGAGGACCCCGGTGAGTGAAATGGGACAGACACCGCAGAAGAATGTGTTCTTAATTTTCTCGTAACATCAAGTTTGCCTTGTTGGCAGGTTGAAGGTGGGCACGATACAGAAGTACCGCTGTACGATCCCAATAGTGTCACAGCTACAGCGACGGATTCTTCCTCGAGGACTTGGCATTCTCAGGTCGCTTTCCAGCCTCTACAATATGTGCGGATGTTGTCGTGTGTCGCCTGTGGTACATACTGTTCCGATGTGAAGGCGTATAAAGGTCGAGTGCACTGCTGCTGCAGCAGACGCGGGTGTTTTACAGAAGATGTGGACATCCCATGAAATAGAAGATGGACTCTACGCTTAAGGCTCGATCGATTTCAAGAACCGCCCGCGAGATGACCATCCTTGTTCCCACCCGTTCTCTCCAAAATGATCATGTACCTTGCTCGCTTGGTTTGTACGTCGTCAAGTGTAGCCGATTGCGATAGTAATACTGACGTTTATTTCTGACACGTGGAGTACAAGCCAGCTCGCTGGAAGGGCCCTACCCTTGACATCGCTTCAGCGTTCTCGTTCACCATCCCACGCTCGCGGTGACGATCAAATGATCAAAATGCCACAGACGTTGCGGAGATCATGCGCATGCTCGGCGGAGTCGGCCCATAGCGGAGCGCTTGTACGTGTGCGGCAAGAGCGTTACGTGGGAAGGGTGGAATGCCCTCACTGCCCTTCATTCCTTCCAGGTGATGGCACGGTTAGGTGACCACGTGAAGGTTGAAGGTCGGATCGTATGTGCATAATTGTGTGCTGCTGTTGATTTTTCTAGACCGTGAGAGGGCCCCGCCCAGCCCTACAGATGCGTGAGATCGGTATTTCCGGCTGATGATGATGTGTGTGCCGCACTGAAGGTGCACGTACGCGTCGCTTGCAAAGCTGCGACCGCAAGCTAGCACTGCTATATGCCCCCATCTCCAACAAGATCCCGCGCGAACCTCCAACCAAAACTGCCTCTGCCGCACCCACTCCACCACCAACGGATGCGCCACAAAATACCCAAAGTTTTAGCCGGCTAAACTGTCACACCCTTTCAACCCCGCTAGCCGAGGGCACACCAGCTGATGCCACATGCCCCGCTGTTTCTGCTGCTCTTCCCCCCGCTGCTCTATGATGACCTCCTCCTCTTCCCCACCCCGCTCCCCCCCTCCTTCGTCCGTGGCTGTCGCACCCCGTGTGTCTCTTACAGCTTTAGGCCGCCACGCGCCGTCCTTCCCCTGTTGCTGTTGGCCCTCTCGTGCCTTGCCCGCCGAACAGGTTCCTAAAGCGCCGGTACCCTGGGATTGATCTCTGACGTTTGGTGGTCGCTTGGAGAGCACGACGGATACCTGGTGGTTTTGGTGTCATGTCAGATTACGTAGCTTTGAAGGAGAGTTTTACTTCATATATTTTCGTCAATTCACAAACCTACAGGGAGAAGTGTGGATGCAAACCGCTTTGAAAGTATGCTTAAGCCAGAGATGGTTCCATCCACGGCGCCCCCGGCTTGCCTCGCCCATGTGTTTTTGCATCGGAGCGTGTCTCAACATAGCAATAAATGCTTGAGGAGAGCACCATCAGATTCCACCGTATCGCGTAGTCGGCTCTGTCAGGCACACATCTTCGAAGGGCAGGGATTTTTTGTCGAAGGTCCTGATGTTGATTTCCTAGTTTTTTTTCCAGTTTCTCACCTTCGGGGCGGGGCGAGAACGCGAAATCCGAATCTTGAAGCCAGGCCGAGGTGTAAGGCGTTGGACGATAGAATTGCCGGAGGAAGGGCCAGTGCTGCTGCTGCCGCCGCTGTTGACACTACTCCTGGTGCTTGCTGTGCTCGCCATCTGGTTAAAACCCCGGGGGGGGGGGGGGGAGACAAGGACGTGGGGGATTGAAGCGGCAGAGAAAGGAGTGAAGAGCCAAGAAGCGTTGATGGATGAAATGATTGATGATGGATGCTGTATAAGTAGGGTTGTAGAGTTGTCTTTCGGCATGTTAGTCCGGCGCGCCACGGGCCTTTAATAATTCAACCACGAATGGCTCGACCAACGTACAAAACCGAGTAACGAGAAAAAATAATGTTTTTTGTCCAAGAATATCCACCCGAATCTGACGTGAGCAGATTTTGTGCGTCGTCGGCAAACCGTTGTCAGTTCTACTCCTGCGTTCCCAAGGGCTTTTCCAAAGTACGGCAGCGTTTCAGCGTAAACACCATCATTACCGTCTTGCTTGTCAGAGCCGAAGAAGCTGGGACCATGGTCTCGTTCGCGACAGGCACGGCGGTGCAAATGTCCGGGACGGGGCCCTCCGCGATTCGCAGGAAGAGGTGCACTCGGCATGATCCTAGCCCACGAAGTGGCATGCTGGACATTTTCCCGACCATACTTCGCACCTGTACCAGATGGCGGGGCAAGCAAACAACACCATGGCAGAAATACTTTTCGATGGATTGCGGAGCACCGAGCACAGCATCGAAACGCCACAAATTGAAGCACGAACGAAGGGGCGAAACAAGCAACAGGATTGGTGTCTTGGAACAAACCGTAGGACACCCCAATCTCCGAGACATTCCATCTGCCGCGTGGTGCTTTCAAGTTACTCTTCTCGCGACAACATCACCAATTCCCCAAACAACTACACCCCCATCTCTCACCAATGTTCGCGAGTACGCATCGGCTAGGTTGCTCTTGCCCCGAACATCACCGCCGCTCGCAGTATTCCTCGTCGCAGTGTCCTTGCTCTCGGAGCTCTCATCGAGAGAAGACCCGGTAAACGTCACGGAGTAAATCTTTCTGATAGCGGCGTGTTTCCGGTAGGGGGGGGGGGGGCAGCAGACGGCGTGCGGGGGACACAACCTGCGATCATATCGCTTACTGCTGTGGGACGTTTGAAAAAATTAAAATTTTGGCCTAAAACAAAATGCAAGAAATATAAATCCACCGCTGCCCTGGTCGGAGCAATTGGGGGCGTGGGAAGAAAGGGGTCATGGGTGGTGGACAGTTCAAGCAGGCAGGGGGCAGGGGTCAATGTGGCCGGGACCTTCTCAGACCACATGGAAGACCTCACTAGGTGGCCTCCAAGTTGACAGATCAAGGGTGGTGACACGTAACCCCGTAGATAGTGGGAACGGTGCCGAGTCCTTCTTGGACGTCAGGAATTCAGCATTCACTACCCACATGAACGCACACCACAATCACACATGGTACGCCAGAGACACTGCACGCGTGTAAGAGGTAGCATAAATACTCCAGGCGCGCCCAGAGTCCGCAGTTCGTCCGCAGTCTTCTCCTTGTTTGTGGCGTTGTTGTGGTGTTGCGGTGTTGGTGTTGTAGCTGTTGTACTTCCAGATACTACGTGGCCGACCATTTCAACCTAACCTTGGAGAGAGGTGCGACGCTCCCAGCAGGACGAGGGCTTCCAACACAGGACGCCCCTTCCTGGCGGCGTCCGCAAACGCCTCTTCCACGGCCAGGGTAGTCTCCGCCAACGCCCGCAAGCTTTTCCGTGCCCTACGGTGCGCTGGATCGTAAGCAGCACATCAAGGAAGGGTGCGGTGGGTGTGTGGGCCATACTCAATCAGTGGCGGCCTTGAAGGGTCCATTCGCATTGGCCTTGTCCGTACAAAGGGAGCTGAGCGGGGGGGTCGAACATCAGATAAGTTGCGGTAACCTTAAACTCGAACGAGCTGGTCGAGAAGTCCGAATGTAATCTGGTCTTAGTTTCTCACGAGGGGCTTTCGCCAGAGGTCGTCCGCTCTTGGCCTTTTTGCTCCTCCTCCTGCCAACCGTTTCAGTTAGACCACTACCCAGTGCGTCTCCTCCCTCTCGCGTCCTGCCCCTCCCTTCCCTGGCAGCCAATGCTGCTGCTGCTGCCGCCGCCGCCGCTGACTTTTGTTGTCGGTCGACTTCGTCCCGCTCTTCGCGTTCGTCTAGCACCTGAAGAGACACCACGCGCCAACCGAACCGAACCACAATAAGCCACTGGTTGTCATGACCAAAGCCCACACGTAGAAAACCGGCTGAGAAGCGCTGCCCGCCCAACCGGGGTTATTGAAGCGTATCACCATGCGGACAGACGCTTAGTTCACCTTGCGCCAAGTGCAACTGGCCTCTAGGGATGCACCCACGTGAATCACGTTTTTTCGGCAAATTGAGCCACGCCTCACCTTCACAAGCTGTTGGAACGGCATCGGCAGCTGTCCTCTCATGAAGAGCACGTGTCGCAGCACCTTGCCGCACCCAGATACACGCACAAACAAAGGCAAACATGGAGAGATGTAGGGAACGAGTGACCAAGGAAACAGAGAGAAACAACAACCATCAAAAATTCACCCTACTACAGTACATGCAAGGCGGAATAACAACAGGAGTCGGCGCCAGCCGCAACAAAGAGGAGTAGAGGTTCCTCGGGATGAATAGGTGCTGCGAGCGACAAACGTGGTTTTCAACATCTGAGTAGTGTAGACCGTAATCTTTCGTAGTTGGCGCTTCTGGACAGCAGTGCGAAGTCGTGACGACGAATAGAATGTACCAAGTTGTGCATACGAAGGTTTTCAGCAGAGGCAGTACATTTGGATGCTCAAGTGACGGCCATGTTCGGGCCTCTGGTTGTTGGGGGACAAAATCGAGTACAACGTGAGGGTGTTGTGTGGTTGTTGGCATGTCAACGACGCAACACTAGCATATTCCTATATATTTCTGGGGTAGCAGATGCATATTCCCGACAACGGTCGTATCATACGAGAAGCTGGCTGTTTTCACTACAACATACACTCGGCGGCCAGATGGGTCCAGACGAGGGAAAATGCCCCCTGCACCGGCACTGTACATAAGACTACAATACTGCTGCCACCCTCGGAGCCGTGACATCTCAGTATTGTCTACCATGCTTTTATGAGCAGTCGATCAAATATGTCGTCTTTCTCAACGAACTCCATTTTGCACATCTAACCGCACACCTTCTCACCTCTATCACAACATGGGCCGCATCTCCACTCCGAAGGTGTTGCTTGAACACGACTGGAACTGTAACCTCTAGCTGCTCTGGATGTTGACGTTTTCTTGCCAGTCCGCTCTTCCGGCCAGGGACAGCTCTCCTTCTTTCTGTTGGTCCTGCCGTGCTTGCTTCGTTCATAGTGTTCGTTGTGCCGCTGGGAGCTGCTCTAGGTGACGACGAAGGCTGGCACAGCGGCTGCTGTCCAGTGGGCCAGGCCGCGCAAGCTGTCCGTCTCTGAACTGCTATCTCTGTCTGAAGCTTGCTGAAATTTGAAATTCAAACCCGTCGGGCATACACACCAGTATCACCCCACCGAGGCTTCGTGCCGCGTATTGCAGCTTATTAGTCCTCGAAATAGTGGCTTAGACAGCCAAGCGCCCCTTTTTCTCGACGAGAGCGTGTCGATCTGTCACTCTGTCGATCTTGGTCGGACACGCCTCTCCACAACGCTGGCTCAGGCTGTTACCTGGCACTGGCAAGACCGACGACACAGGAGATGAAAAGAGGCATGATGCGTGCGGTCGTGTTGTAAGTTCTTCTCCGCGGTGCCCCGTTCCCCTGCGGATCCTCTCGCTCCGCTCTTGCTTCGCATCTTCGCATCGTCGCATGCCTGCCCCCTGTTCCCACAACAACAAAACACAGAGCAGAGAGAGAATGCCTTTCAGCCATGTGAGGTCGCTAAGCTGCCTGTTAGATACTTCCGAGGACATTTCGGCCGGAGGAGCACCCGCATGCCGCTCGTTGCGTGCTTGGGTTCGTGGGAGAGGAGACCCCGCGCTAGCCTCTCTGATTCTTGGGTCGATTGTCGTTGTTGGTGTGGCGCTGGGATCGGTGCTACCAGCTTCTGACGAGCTTCATGGTCCCTACCGACGGATCTCGGCCATCGTTGGGTGGACCTATTTCTGCAGGTACAAGGTGGAACGATAGCAGTGCAGCAAGCAGCCTGTGTGCATTTCATGATGCTGCGGACAGATGAGCTGCCTTGTGAATAGAGGTGAAGGTTTCGTATGTTCGGGGAGGAGGCTGACCAACAGCAGTAGTCGACCCAGTAAAGTTGATGCTTATCGCAGAGAAAACTGCTGTAGTTGATTGAACACAGCAAGTTGACACTGGACTGCTTGAATGCTGTTGGGTCAGCTGTGATGAACTGCTGCTGTGGTTGGTATTTAGTTCTTCAACCTGAGGGAGAATACCTCTTCTTGGGCATCTCTATTTAGATACCAAAAATTCACGATCGCGGAAGATCATTATGCATGTGTTGCGGAGTGGTTAAACGCGCCAAGCTTAAGACTTGGTACCTTCGAGTTTCGTGGGTTCGAACCCCACCGCATGCAGCAAGCCTTTTCGTTTTTTTTCCCACTTTTTTTGCCATCTGTCGTTACAGCACCTGTATTTATTATTCTTTCTGTTGTACCTCACCATGCAGTATTTAGAGTTTTCGCTCTTTCTTTTGGGAAAATACAGTAGACAAAAGTGGTTTTCTCGGACAAAAGTGGGTAGTACCCGCTGGATGTACTCAAAAAATTGATTTCCGGACACCACTCCTGACAAGGCCGAACCACTCAACAGCTCATTCCGATGCTTGGACAACACGGGCAAGAAAGCCCACGCACAACATGTTAGCATCATTTTTTGCGGATCTCTGGGCGCGCGTCTTCACCCCACGCACCGCCGCGGCGCACAAGGCCATAACAGGTTGCCCAATTCTGTCAATTCCGGTGGGCACATATACGCACCAAAATCTACGATTTTTTTCATGTAGTACCCACTTTGTCTGTTTTGTAACCCACTTTTGTCCGAAATGTACCCACTTTTTCTATATTTTTCGTTCGAAAATCCACCTCCGCGTCACCGCACAAGAGAATCTATTGAATGAAAATCACGCGGCATGAGCCAAATTTTGTAATACTCCAAAGGTTTACTCGGTAATTTTACCGCCGTCAAATTACCGCCGTGGTTGGCGGTCCCGGTAGTCTGCCGTTTTACCGCCGTTTTTTGGTTTTACCGCTCTCCCAAGGTCGTTACCGCCGAAAAACGCATTACCGCCTACGGCCAATATGTTCAATTACCGCCATATGGCAAAGCCACCGAAAAATTACCTTGGTTTTGCCGCCTCCGCCAAAGTCGTTGCCGCCATAAAAAAGCATTACCGCCTACCACCAAAACAGTTACCGCTAAATGGAAATACCGCCGAAAAATTACCGCCAAATTTGTGTTACCGCCTCCGCCAAAGTTGATACCGCCAAAAAACGCATGACCGCCTACCGCCAATACAATTACCGCCAAACGTGATTGCCGCCAAAAACGTACATATCCGCCTAAAAAACCGTTCCCGAGTAATCCCTTGGAATATTCCATCTGTGCCAAGCGATTTTACCGGCCTCAAATAGGGCAACCGGCCTTAAATAGGCGGCCATAAACAGGGATGTCCCTCGTATGCATATATGTGCATTGCAAGGGTTGTGGTAGAAACGTGCATAACATCAAAAGAGAGACTACGCATTGCAAAATTTAGGACTGCATGTAAAGGAAAGAGTTGCCGACAACAACTAACTGCATGCCTTCCTTTTCCTTTTCTCTCTGCTGCTGTACCAACGCACAGCAATTTTTTCTTCCACAATCGGTGGATTTTTTTTGTTCAGCCCCTACTGTACTGCTTCTGTTGGCGCCTCACATGCCCCAAAACTTGAAGGTGTATCAGCCGGGGTCAATACCGTATGCCCTTCTTTCCGACCATTCCCTACACTTCCCGTGATAAAAACCAAGGCAAGCACCGCAGAGGGAAAAGTGGGGCAATAACACAAACAAAAATGTGAAAAAAAGCTCCTGTGTGGCCTTCCTCTTGTGACCCCCGCAGATGCGTCGGGTATATACGCCGAAAGGCCTGCAAACCGGCGCCAGAGTATATGGGACCAACACACACACACATTCCCTAGGTCAGCAGTCCCCCAAGCTTGCCTTCTATTCGCTCACGAAAAAGCTCCTGATTCACAGCAGCAATGTCAAAAGTCATTGCCACCACGGACGTGCCGACGGAGCTATTTTTGCGTCAAAAATCCAGCGTCCGTGCAATCGAAACCATGCGTTGCCCATCGAAGTTATTGAGGCCGAAAAGCTTTGTCGATCCGACGGCGCCATGCGCGCTCTGTTGACTGGTGATTGGAGCATCCTTGGCTCAAACGACAGCCGGCAACGTTTGCATACATGTGTTCTGAATCACCCTGTGGCCACCCGCGAATCCACCGGAACAAGGTTGAACGGCGGACGTGTTTGCGATGATCGGGTAACCGAACCCATCACCTCTGGCACACGCAGGCCAGTCAACGCCTAAGTATCGTGGTCGTTCGATACAGATGCCGCTACGTGGGACGTGCTCGTCTCTCTCTAGACCGCTATGTTTCCCTCGCGCGTTCGCTACCATCTTTTCCAGGTGGCATTGGGTGGTGTTTAGTGCTGTCAGATGTTTCTCAATTGGTGCATGCAAGGTGTGCTTCGCACACAAGCGTCGCTTCTATGAAATGACGCAGAGGGCCAGGAGGAGACGGTAGCTGTACTGGGGCATAGGAAGTGAGTTGAAAAGGCGGGAAGTGATATCGATAGGATAGATAGACTACGGAGAACGTTTTTGAGCCACCTTCGGCAAAGCAGGAAAGAACGATTGGCCATCGGTGATGGGTGCTGTGGGAACAATGCCCCGTGCTCTCGAGGACGCGTGGTCGATGGTCTAACCGCTAAGGCATGCACAAAACATAAGAGTACCCCCCCCCTCTCCCCCCCCTTGACGCAAATTTATTCCGATATGAGGACCAAATCGTGTATTGAATTTGACTCCCTCCCCACTGGTGCATTGACATGTTGCTGTCCTCTTTGCAGCTGGAGCGTGTCCTTCTACCCCCAAGTCCTGCTTAACTACCGGAGGAAAACGAGCGTCGGCCTGTCGTTCGACTTCCTCCTCTACAACGTACTGGCCTTTTCGTGCTACTCGGCTTTCACCTGTAAGACCCTTCGTTTGTTTCGGGGACCAATCGGCAAAACCCTTGTTGTTTTTTGTCCTGAAGCATTGTGTAAAGATAGCCACGGCCGGTGGCGTGCAAATAGACTGACTGCTGTGTTTGTGGCCTGACCTTCGCTTGACGGCGGAACGGCCTCTTTGCCTGGAACTCCAGTTCTGGACCAGTCACCTGCGTCGTCAACAAGCACAGTATTCATTTAGGAAAACAATTTAGTTGATTGCTTCCTCGTGAAAGAGGGAGGTTTCCCATCATCAACCGGGATGGGTTTGGTCCCCACGAATACGGGGGTCGATGTATCGTTTTGCGTGTGTAGACAAGCGTGCTCAATTTTTCATCCTATCCGGTCTTGCACGCGCGTGCTATGAACCAGCCACGGTTGAACGGGACCCAACCCCGAAGCCTTCTCGTGATATTCATTCGAGGATCGCTGTTGATCTACCGTAGCTGTCTGACCGAGGGAGCCTGAAGCTTGACACAGCCCGTGGCCCATGCTGCGTGTGTCGGTGTGGCTGTCAACAGGCTCTTTGTATTGGTCCAAGTCCGTGCAGCGGGCGTACGACAAGCGGCACGCGGGCCAGCCGAACAAGGTGCAGCTGAACGATGCTGTCTTCGCCTTGCACGCTACCTTCGTGTCCTTCTTCACACTGGCGCAGGTGCGTACACCGATGCACGCGTAGCGCGTTAAACCCACTCCCCGCGCTTCTGCCTGCAGTACGTCCCAGTTATTGTTGTTGTTGTTTTTTGTTGTAATACTTGGAATCAGAAACCATTCTGGTCTCTGTGTGACCTGTCGCAGGGTAACATCATGTGCTCGTGGATTCGTGGGTTGGTTCCCGAGCATTAACCAATTCCACGGTCGTGCAACCTGTCACAGCGTTCATTTCACTACTGTCGTGCACTCAGCCATCCAATCACAAAGCATCACATGACTTTCATTCCCGTGCTGTCATTGCGTGTTCTACGGCGGTGCTTACGTGTGCAGATAGCCTGCTATTTTTCGCCAAGATGGTGAACTATTCTAGCACTCTACTTCGAATATTATACATTTCCCTCTCTCACGCACATGTCGCTTCCCACGGGTCGGCATGAAGGAGCGAGAAACGGAACCTTGTTGGTGTGATTTTTTTTTACTTGATGAGATCACGTCACGAACACAACACAACACCGCCGGGCGTGCGATTTCGTGGCCGAAAAGTGGACGTTTTGACCCTAGCACATGGCGGCATCCTCGTGATTGTCACCACCACCGTCACTCATAAACAGCACCACCACCAACAACAACAGTAACAACAACAACAACAACAACCGAAGGTGGTGTACTACGACTGGCGAGATCGAAAGCAGCGACCCTCCTCCGCCGCGGTGGCAGTCTGCGGCGTCATCCTGGCGTCTTCCTCGGCCTACGCGTTGTCCGTGTGGGCCGGGCGAACGACGCGGGGCAATGGCAGCGATAGGGGGCTGCTGAACTGGTTGGACTTTCTGTACTTCCTTTCGTACGTGAAGGTGCGATCGTGCTGGGGGTATCACATGTAATAGCACGGTAACGGAAGGGAGATACGGCGAGATCGACGTGCGTGCGTGCGTGCCCGCCTAGAGTTTCCGCGCCTTTGTATTGTGCGAAGTCGTGGGGGTTGCGGGAGGGCGGGCTCAAATTCCGTCAACTTCCTAACTTGTCTGGACTGGGCGTAGCGCCCTCGGCATGAGAAAGCGTTCGCCTTGCAAAGAGATGGGGGGACGGGCGGCCTCTGATTAGCCAGGGCTCGAGACTATCCCATTTCCTTTCATAAAACGCAAGCAAGAGATGTGCACTATTTTTTGTCAAGCATGCCTAGATCGAAGGAGCCGAGTGCGGACTCCAGTTCTCGGTGTGGGCGGACTACGGCGAGTATCGTATTTTGTACCGGCACGTCGAGAAATTCCTGCTGATTTCTCGGTGCTCGTGTGGCGCAACTCAACAAGACACACATCCCACACTCGGCGCAACACAAGCAGGTGGTGACAGGGATCATCAAGTACGTGCCCCAGGTGATCCTCAACATCCGGCGGCACTCCACGGCCGGGTGGACTATCTGGAACGTCATCCTGGACCTTACGGGAGGTCTCCTCAGCGTTGTTCAGGTGCGTCAAGCTGAGATGGTTCACCGTCCCGAATTTTTGAGTGTCCCAAAGCTTCCCACAAGAGAGGAAGAAACAGAGCGTCATGTTTTCGGCGGATGGAAGCCACGGGTGCTTGTCGAGAATAGAGCTGTCGAGAAACGAAAGGGAGTTTGTCCATCACACCCATGGCATGGCTCGTGTAACCCGAGGTTAACCGAGACAGGGCCCGGAATCTACCAGTTACGTTGTCGCGAACGCTTGCGAAAACATTCAGTACGGTTTTATCGGGTATGTGGTGCATGTGAATCCCAATGTACCTGACGGTAATCGGAACAAGGTTTGAGTCCGGAACGCCGGCAGCTCTGCTGCTGAGGCGACCTCAGGGTCTACTACTCAAGAGAAGTAGAAGTAGAAGTGCAGACGTTGATGTAAGAAGTTCCACAAGTAGAAAGTGGGTCGACTTGGTTTGCGCCCCATTGTCGCACCCTCACGCCCTCACGCCGGTTGTGCTCTCCAGAGAAACCGTGGATAAATTTCTCCTTCCTACAATATGATCATGTATAGTCTAGAGCGATACAGACGTTGGAGAGGCCATGTTACTCAGGGGAAGGGGGGGGGGGGGGGGGGGGGGGGG